TGAGATGGAATGGGCAAGAATGGGTTTTCCTGCTCAGGAAAATACCGCTGATGCTACCGGAAGTCCCCAAGCCGTTCCCCAGCCGTTCCATGGCTGCCGATTTTGAAGAACAGAAAGCTACCGTTCTTCTAAATCGGCTGCCATAGCACGGATGAGGAACGGTTTGGGGACCCCCAGTGGCATCAGCGACGTTTTCCTGAGTAGTAAAACCCATTCTGGTCTGTTCCATCCCATTCCCAGATCGGGATGGAAATGCGGAGCAATAAACTTATATGTTTGGATTTTGAACTCAATTTGCAGCACCTGAAATAAGCTGAGGGCAAAAGGAGAAAATGGAAGGAGAAAGAAACTGGGACATTTTAAAACCTAAAAAAGAAAAGAAAAGGAGAATGACAGAAGATTAATTGGGACTTTCCCTGCCAGTTGGAGAGTATGTAAACAGCAAATCCCAGGATTGTGTGAGATGTAATCATGGCAGTTAAAATGGATCATAGCACTATAATGATGCAGTGTGAATGGACCCATGGTTAAAGCCCAATGCTGCATTTATATAAAAATTAGCTCTTCATACTGGTAGCTTGAACTCCCACCCAATTTGTCATGTTGTTGTTATGATTATTGTTATTCTTATTATTGCTATCATCTTTTTTTGCTTATATTCTGTGTTTTGCCTAAAGAAAAGAGGCGTACAGGGCTACATGCCTCCAAGTCTCTTTTTGACTTATGGAGACTCTAAGGTGAACCTATCATAGGTTTTTCTCAGCAACTTTCTTCAGAGGGGGGTGCCATAGCCATCCTCTAAGGCTGAGAGAGTGTGACACAGTTGGTTTTTATGCTTGAGTGGGGAATCGAACCATGATCTCCAGAGTCATAGTCCAATGCTCAAACCACTACACCATGCCAGCTCTATACACTTCATGTGTACAGAGTCAACCTTAATATGTACAAAGGGTCAACCGTAAAATGAAATGAAATTATCAACAATATTAAAGACAATTTAAAACATAGAAATAAAAATAACAAAAAGCAGGGTTTGAGTGTTGGACTACAACTCTGGAGACCAGGGTTTGATTCCTGCTTGGCTATGAAACCTGTCAGGTGACCTTGGGCAAAGTCACACTCTCTCAACCTCAGGGGAAGGCAATGGCAAACTTCCTCCAAACAAACCTTGTCAAGAAAACCCCATGATATGTTTGCCTTAGGGTCGCCATAAGTCGGAACTGACTTGAAGGCACACAAGACACACAGACACACTCAATTAAAAACTGTGCAGCATCCTATTAAAAACTCTTTAAAATTCATTCAGTTCTCAAACCCCTGTTGGAATAAGAAATCTCTGGCTGCCTAGAGGACAGCATGGAGTGGGCCATTCTAGCTTTGCTAGGAAGAGAGTTCAAGAACCTAGGGGTCACCACCAAGAAGACCCAGCAGCCTTTTGACTGTAAACCCCATGGTGCAGCAATCTATCTCCAGGTACTCTGTAAAGTACCACGGACGCTGACTGTGCAATACAGACAGAGGTCCAAATCACACTGCAGAAATAATCCAGTTTGAGACTGCTTTAACTGCCTTGGCTCAGTGCTAGAAAATCTCAGGCAGTGGCAACACTGCAGAATTAATGCAATTTGACATTGCTTTAACAGTCATGGCCCCATTCTGTAGAATCCTGGGATTTGTAGTTTATTGTGGCGCCGGAGTTCTCTGACACAAAGGCTAAATTTCTCACAAAACCACAGTTCCCTGAATAGCCTACCATTGAGCTAGTATAGTTTAATAGTCGCAAACTAGATTATTTCTGCAGTGTGTTTTGGACCTGAGTTACTGTGATACAGGGATGGATGGAGGGATACTGTAGATATGTCTCTGAGCTGCTGGTGCAGCATTTTCATTTTTTCCTGGGCTTTAGCCAGGCTTATTACAAAATTGGCCTGTGGCCTGCTACAAAAATGCATAGTTGCCTGTTCATGCACACAACTCCAAAACTAAACGGATAGATTTTTTTTTTTGTGGGTTTTTCGGGCCATGTGGCCATGTTCTGGAAGAGTTTGCTCCAGTCCAGAACATCTGTGGCTGGCATTTTCAGAGAATGATAGACTCTGACTAGCTATTCTCTCTTTCTGTTTTTGGGTTGTTAATAACACAGGCTTGTTCAGGGCTGGCCCAAGCTGCTTTGCTGCCTGAGGCAAAGCAGCAGATGGCACACATACACAAACACACACATGCACACTGGTTGTGGTGCATAGTATCCAAAAACATAGGACCCAAAGTCATATGAGCTATTTTGGCACACAAGACAGAAAAATCTCTTAAGCACCTCTCCACATGCCAGCAGTATAACTGCAGTGACACTACCTGGAAGTGATTTTTAACTTTAATTAATTTATTTTTTACAATTTAAAAAATTACATAACTAATCATTTGTTGCCCTTTCATGGCCTTCCAAATCTGGCTCCGGAGGTGGTCACTTCACTCTGCCCCATGGAAAGGTCAGTGCTGACCTTCTGCATCATGCCCAGAGCTCTTTGGAAGAAAAGCAAGAGGCATTAAGGACACACGCAACTGGCTGAGATCAGGAGGGTGGTGAGGTCCTCCAGATGTTGTTGAACTGCAACTCCCAGCATTCCTGGGTAGGCAGCTAAAGGTTGCTGGGAGCTGCAGTTCAGTTGCAACTTTGGGCTACCCAATTCCTATCCCACCCTAACCCAACTGCCGGTGCTACTCCTGGTAGAACAGGCACTTTGAATCAACTGCAAAATAGTTCATGCTTGTTTAAATCCTACTGATGAAAAGATCCACTCTAATCAAAACTAGGCTGACAACGGTCACCCTAAGACATTTTCTTTGGCCGCTCCTAGATTGTGGAATAACCTGCCAGAGGACTTAGAATCTTCTGTAGAGCAGCAGTTTCCAAACTTTGGTCTCAGCTTCCAATAAGTGTCATGCACCTGCTA